GTGGTGATACATGGTGGTGATACAGGGTGGGGATACAGGACGGTGATACATGGTGGTGATATATGAGGGTGATACAGGGTGGGGATACATGGTGGTGATACATGAGGGTGATACATGGTGGTGATACATGAGGGTGATACATGGTGGGGATACAGGGTGGGGATACAGGACGGTGATACATGAGGGTGATACATGGTGGTGATACATGGTGGTGATACATGGTGGTGATACATGGTGGTGATACAGGACGGTGATACATGGTGGGGATACAGGACGGTGATACATGGTGGTGATACAGGACGGTGATACAGGGTGGGGATACATGGTGGTGATACATGGTGGGGATACAGGGTGGGGATACAGGACGGTGATACATGGTGGTGATACATGGTGGTGATACATGGTGGTGATACAGGGTGGGGATACAGGACGGTGATACATGGTGGTGATACATGGTGGTGATACATGGTGGGGATACATGGTGGTGATACATGGTGGGGATACAGGACGGTGATACATGGTGGTGATACATGAGGGTGATACAGGGTGGGGATACATGGTGGTGATACATGAGGGTGATACATGGTGGTGATACATGAGGGTGATACATGGTGGTGATACATGAGGGTGATACATGGTGGTGATACATGGTGGTGGCCTTGTTTGTTTCTTTTTTAATGGAATTCAATTGGAAGTCGAAAATAAATTCTTTTATTGCCTATAGATGTACCTAGCATGTATTTATAACAATAGAAATTTTTGAAATAATACACTGAAAGGAGTAACTAAAACAATACAATGAAATAAACACTGACATCGAAATATATCCTCACGAAACTCTATTCAATTAGCGCGTGCTTTTCTCTCTTCCAGTCAAATTATTTTAAAACTTGTCATCTAGATTTCACATGTTGTGTTTTAATTTCTCTCTTCCAATCAAATTATTTTAAAACTTGTCATCTAGATTTCACATGTTGTGTTTTAATTTCTCTCTTCCAATCAAATTATTTTAGAACTTGTCATCTAGATTTCACATGTTGTGTTTTAATTTCTCTCTTCCAATCAAATTATTTTAAAACTTGTCATCTAGATTTTACATGTTGTGTTTTAATTTCTCTCTTCCAATCAAATTATTTTAAAACTTGTCATCTTGACTTAACAAGCCGAGTTTGACATTGTTGGAAAACAAAACAATTTTTTGTTCAACATTGTAGTGGGCCACATTTAACGCTGCACTAATCTATTTATAGCAGCAATGGTTCAGAAATAAATTTCTAAACCCCAAGATCCTGGGTTGATTTCACATTCTCGATCTTTCTCAACATTTCACATTCTCGATCTTTCTAAACATTTCACATTCTTGATCTTTCTAAACAATTAAATTTATGTAAATCTGTGAGGTGAGTGACGTCACTGGAAAAAAAATTTCTCGCGATTTTTACTTTCTCGTATATACGAAGTATAGAGAAAGTCTTGTAATCGTGCAAAAATAAATAAACCGGGAGTGATCTCCCCTAAACTTTCTCGAATATTCTTATATAAAACAACAGGGGATGGGAACTCGGGCTATTGACATGATTTTTAATCCATTTTAAATACTTAAAGTTTTAAAAATAGAATAAAATCTCGTAGACAAAATAATTGCACGCCAAGTGAACTAGTGAACGCCAAATAAAAAAGTGCACAATAGCGCGCAATATTATTAGTACTTTAAAAATTTACATTAGTTTTTTGAGAAATCGGAAGTAGCGTAAATTACTACTTCCGGTCAACGGAAATTACTCAAAATTTAACAGAAGGTAGAGAATTAGATCTTTTACTTACATGTGAAATTTCATTTATCTATCTGAAATAGTACTCAAGTTATAGGCTTTTGAAAAATTCAAAGTAGGAAAAGTACCACTTCCGGTTATCGGAAATCGCTCAAAAGTTGATACGGATCTACGATTTTGATAAAATACTTATATATGAAATTTCATCAACCTAGCTATAACGGTACTCAAGTAATCGTGTTTACACACGGACACACACACAGACACACAGACATACGGACAGAATTGCAAAGCCCAGTTTTTCAGACTGGATTACGCATAAAACCTCTTAATTTTGATAAATCTGGATTGATAATTTTTGCCCGATTAAAATAAGTCCTCTATACTTCGGATGTGATGAAGGACTGAGGTGTAATACGGTGAAAATTGTTAAAATTTCAAGTGATTTTTGTGCACGATTACAATACTTTCTCTATACTTCGTATATACGAGAAAGTAAAAAAATGATTTTTACAAATCTCGACGTTTTACACCTCCCTGAATCGGAAAAACATAATTTTGCAATCTTGTCCGTATGTCTGTGTGTATGTGTGTCTGTGTGTGTGTGTGTAAACACAATAACTTGAGTACCGTTACAGCTAGGTTGGTGAAATTTCATATAGAAGTATTTTATCAAAATCATAGATCCGTATCAAATTTTGAGCGATTTCCGATAACTGGAAGTGGTACTTTTTTCACTTTGAATTTTTCAAAAGCCTATAACTTGAGTACTATTTCAGATAGATAAATGAAATTTCACACGCAAGTAAAAGATCTAATCTTCTACCTTCTATCAAATTTTGAGTTATTTCTGTTGACCGGAAGTAGTAATTTGCGCTACTTCCTATTTCTCAAAAAACGCTTGTAAATTTATAAAGTACTAATAATATTCCGCACTATTATGCACATTTTGTTTTGGCGTTCGCTTGGTGCGCAATTCTTTTTTCTATGAGATTCTATTCTATTTTAAAAAGTTTAAGTATTTAAAATGTATTAAAAATCATAACTATATCCCGAGTTCCCAACCCTGTTGTTTTATATAAGAATATTGGAGAAAGTTTAGGGGAGATCACTCCCGGTTTATTAGAATCTGCAGTCAAGTTTTAATAGGTGGGTGCTGTAGGGTTTCAGCCAATTAGCACTAAACTTAATTAATTAATTAATTAATATCTCTGCTGTTGTTATATCCCAAGCTGCGGTATTTGTGTTTTTGTAAGACCGATATTGTGTTACTCGTTGAGAGGTTAAGTTAGCCTGAGTGTTGAGGTTAATACGGGGGTTAGGATTAGGTTTAGACGTTAAGCCGTTTGGTGAACCAATGCAGGTCAGTATTTTTAGTTGCGTTAAAGTTATGTGTGTGTGTATGTATGTATGTATGTATGTATGTATGTATGTATGTATGTAGCGATCGGCTATTTCAAGATTAATCACACACGTATCATCATTTTAATATCAAGTCTCCCCCCACCCCCACCCCCACCCCCCACCAAGCTTTTTCGTTCTTTGTTTACGACAAACAACTCATTACCGCTAATGTTGCCGTCTGCTTCCCCATTGACCCGCCATTTTTTTTTCACGCCGACACCAATCACTCAAATTGTCACATCAAAGGGCAGCTACTCATCATAACTTTAACTGGCCGAGTTAGCCGCCCTGGCTTATACTGCGATGGACGATTAACTAATTTATTGGCTTTTTTCTTTCTGTATTGTCATTGTGTTTCCTAGCGGCTCCCCGCGGTGGGGGGGGGGGGGGGGCGAGACATCTGGGTAGGCCTAGGATATAAAACAGCAGTAATTGTATCTATGATTGGGTGGCCGGTGTAGAATTGTAGAGTTAGGATTGTGTGATTGTGTAGCCAGGGTAGAATATATCAGGCTATGATTGTGTAGCCAGGGTAGCATATATTAGGCTAAGATTGTGTAGCCAAGGTAGCATATATTAGGCTAAGATTGTGTAGCCAAGGTAGCATATATTAGGCTATGATTGTGTAGCCAGGGTAGCATATATTAGGTTATGATTGTGTGATTGTGTGCCCTGGGTTGAATATATCAGGCTATGATTGTGTGATTGTGTGCCCTGGGTAGAATATATTGAGTGCGAGGCCAAGACGGAATAAATGAAACTAGCTGTCGGTACCCGTTACACGTGAATTATAGGCCTATATATTTTTAATTTTAAACAGGTTTGAGAAAATATTTTATAAAATAGTTATTGGACAATACTCAATGTTCTTTACTACACGCTGAACGATAGTGACAAAGCAAAGAAAAAACTAAATAGCTCAAATTCCAGCACATTTAAAAGAACATAGGCTACCAATATCTATTAGAAGAACCAAATTATATACATTATTAGTCAACACAACACCATATTAAATGAACACACTGATTAAGAGACTTAAATGATTCCTTTAAAAACCCGACTGTTCAATGGTATTTCTGTAGTTTTTTTAAAATAATTTGTATTACGGACTAAAATTTCCCGGGGGGGGGGGGGGGGGGGGGGAATGTTAAAAGTATATATTTTTTAAATAAATTCCATTTCGTTCGGGGGAGGGGGGGGCGGTAGACTTTTTGCGGGGGGGGGGGGGGGGGGGGGCTCTTGGAAGAAACTGTGCGATCCATAGATCTAAAGCAAATTTGAATGCAATATTTCATTTCTTTACATTTTAACATTGGAAGATGACGCCATTAGTTTTGTGTCCTTTCACATGTGGCATGTGACTTCATTGATAATTGCGTTGTTTTCTCAACAATAAACGTTTTTCCGGTTGCATAATTAAAAATGTGTTTCTACAATCGAATATGTCTTTATTTTTATTTTCCTTCTTTAGATAAAATTTAGTTTATACATTTAAAACATCCACCATATTATTTTCAACAAAAGTCCGTATCTTTAAGTTCTCCATATATTGCTGAACATACTGATTACATCACCTAAAAAAATTGCGGACAGGGAGAGAGAGAGAGAGAGAGAGAGAGAGAGAGAGAGAGAGAGAGAGAGAGAAAGAGAGAGAGAATGAGAGAGAGAGAGAGAAGTGCGCACATGGTCTTTTATATATTAGGAATTAGGATTACAAAAAAATATTTCTTGGCTAAAACGTGAAGAAGTTAGAAGATCAGCACGACCCCGCCCACAAGATCAGCACGACCCCGCCCACAAGATCATCATTGTCCCGCCCACAAGATGGAGCATGGCCCCGCCCACAAGATGTACATGGTCCCGCCCACAAGATTAGCATGGCCCCCGCCCAGAAGATCAGCACGACCCCGCCCACAAGATCAGTATGGCCCCGCCCACAAGATCACATGGCCCCGCCCACAAGATATCCATGGCCCGCCCACAAGATCAGCATGGTAGCGCGACAAAAAAGGCAAATATTGTTTAATAATGAATTTACCCTCCGTAACGACAGAAAACTGGACCAAGTTTGATGCTTGCTGTTAACTCAATTTTAACTTTCTGTAATACAACACACACACACTACTACACACTACTACACATTACACACTACTACAAACTACTACACACCACTCCCAAAAAATATTTGTCACACCAGTGTCACATTAATGTCACACCACACACCACACAAGAGATGTGCCTAGCGTTCATTACCTCACTGTCCAACCTGATATTCGGTACAACTCTCGTATTTTCTCGCTCCTACACCTTCCCGAGATCTCGTATTTTCTCCTACTTGTGTCTTCCCACACCTTCACGAGATCTCGTGTACTCTCGCAGCATGACCCTACCTCCGCGAGACATCCCACCGTAGCTCCACCCTCTACCCAGCTGCCCCCTGTCAGTAGTTCACGTTTTATTTCGTTTCACGGCGAAACAAAGCCGGGCCGTTCAAGTTTTTTAGCTTTCCGCGTGGCCAGTTTCCATGGTGACGCGGCTCAGCCAAGCGTGTCGAGCTCGGCATTCAGGCGAGTGGCCGATGTTTACCGGCCTGTCACGGCCAGGGTCGCCAAGTTTTCCCCGACCCTTTTGTTCGTCTGTCAGGCGTTTGGGTGGGAGCAAGATGTTCCTGGCTAAATGTTCCCTGCAAGATGTTCCTGGCTAAATGTTCCCAGCAAGATGTTCCTGGCTAAATGTTCCCAGCAAAATGTTCCTGGCTAAATGTTCCCAACAAGATGTTCCTGGCTAAATGTTCCCTGCAAGATGTTCCTGGCTAAATGTTCCCAGCAAGATGTTCCTGGCTAAATGTTCCCAGCAAGATGTTCCTGGCTAAATGTTCCCAGCAAGATGTTCCTGGCTAAATGTTCCCAACAAGATGTTCCTGGCTAAATGTTCCCTGCAAGATGTTCCTGGCTAAATGTTCCCTGCAAGATGTTCTTGACTAAATGTTCCCAACAAGATGTTCCTGGCTAAATGTTCCCAGCAAGATGTTCCTGGCTAAATGTTCCCAGCAAGATGTTCCTGGTTAAATGTTCCCAACAAGATGTTCCTGGCTAAATGTTCCCAACAAGATGTTCCCGGTTAAATGTTCCCCGCAATATGTTCCTGGCTAAGTGATCCCAGCAAGATGTTCCCAGCAAGATGTTCCTGGCTAAATGTTCCCAGCAAGATGTTCCTGGTTAAATGTTCCCCGCAAGATGTTCCCAGCAAGATGTTCCCGCTAAATGTTCCCACCAAGATGTTCCCGGCTAAATGTTCCCGGCTAAATGTTCCCAGTAAGATGTTCCCGGCTAAATGTTCCCAACAAGATGTTCCCAGCAAAATGTTCCCAGCAAGATGTTCCCGGCTAAATGTTCCCGGCTAAATGTTCCCAGCAAAATGTTCCTGGCTAAATGTTCCAAGCAAAATGTTCCTGGCTAAATGTTCCCAGCAAGATGTTCCCGAATAAATGTTCCCGGCAAGATGTTCCTGGTTAAATGTTCCTGGCTAAATGTTCGTGGCTAAATGTTCCCAGCAAGATGTTCCTGGCTAAATGTTCCCGGCTAAATGTTCCCCGCAAGATGTTCCTGGCTAAATGTTCTCAGCAAAATGTTCGAGGCAAGATGTTCCTGGCTAAATGTTCCCAGCAAAATGTTCCCGGCAAGATGTTCCTGGCTAAATGTTCCCGGCAAGATGTTCCTGGCTAAATGTTCCCTGCAAGATGTTCCTGGCTAAATGTTCCCGGCAAGATGTTCCTGGCTAAATGTTCCCAGCAAAATGTTCCTGGCTAAATGTTCCCAGCAAAATGTTCCCGGCAAGATGTTCCTGGCTAAATGTTCCCGGCAAGATGTTCCTGGCTAAATATTCCTTGCAAGATGTTCCTGGCTAAATGTTCCCTGCAAGATGTTCCTGGCTAAATGTTCCCAGCAAGATGTTCCTGGCTAAATGTTCCTGGTTCCACAACCGGCAGGACGTGGAACCGTACAAATAAAACTCAAAGTCCAGGGAACCCGTTTCAGCTGAGTTTGTGTCTCGTTTTACGAACTAAGTCCCTGTCTCGGAGTACGAGTTGAGCTGGTCTCTCACTGTCTCAAGTGTCTCGGAATACGAACTGTTTTTTGTCTAGATGTACTAGCTAAGGTGAACACCATTGAAGATTCGAACTATTTTTCTAGGACCGACAAACCATAAGTTGGGGAAATTAGGGAACTCTTCCGTCAGTTTAATTTTCCACTTCCGACTGCCCGGAATATTTTCTATTGACCATATAAGTGATACGGAAATATATCGACAGCCATAAGCCTCGTTCTTATAAATGGAGCCTCATTTTGGTAGAACTAGAAAACGTTTGTTCTAATTTTCTTTGATTTTCTGATCTTGTGTTTTCGTTTTGTGAAGCATCTACATTGTTTTTTGTAACGCTTATATCAACTAGATTGTTTTTTGTGACGCTTATATCAACTAGATTGTTTTTGTGACGCTTATATCAACTAGATTGTTTTTTGTGACGCTTATATCAACTAGATTGTTTTTTGTGACGCTTATATCAACTAGATTGTTTTTTGTGACGCTTATATCAACTACATTGTTTTTTGTAACGCTTATATCAACTAGATTGAGTTTTGTGACGTTTATATCAACTAAAACTAGGAAAAAGCCAGTAAGCTGACTTTGCAAAATTCCAGTTAACGGCTATTTATGAAACACCATTGTTACACGTTTATCACCCCTCGAGAAAAGCCAGATTTGCTTGACCGGTTTGTGACGATCTCGGGAGCGCCAGAGTATCTTCCCTTTCACTCGCTCCCTCGGTCCAAGGTGCCACCAAAATAAATATTCATTTTTGGGCCATTGAAAGGAAATTGTTTATGGTTAATGGCGTCGATATTACGGCTTGGGGGACAACAAAGGACGCTTCAGTCTGCCGGTAGGTACGCTGTACACATCCCGACCCCCCCCCCCCCCCCACACACACACACACAACCCTGCCACCTGTTTAGTACAGCTGTAGAACAGCCAAACAGCATGACGATGGCAGTACAGGAACCCTGTGTTGTATGCAACTTTTTTCTTCCATTCAGGCCAACCGCGGCCGTCCATTCATGCTGGTCGCGGCCGTCTATTCTCTGCGTCGCTCTAATCCCGCTTGATTTTTTCATCAGAGGAAATTATTTTTCAATCTTCGCACCCCCGTTTAATTCATTCATTTATCGGAGCATTCATCCGTTCGCTCGTGCATTCATTCGACCGTCACAGCCCCCCACCCCCTCCACGGCGTTTCTTTTCACGTGGTCCGTGCCCCACCCCCGCCCCCACCCCCTCGCTCAAGGACTCATCAAGCGGTGATGTGTAGGCTCAGTCCGTGGGGACCGCGTCACAAGTTATTGGACATGTTCTAGGTACGAAGGGGGAGAGGGGGGGGGAAGCCTGGTGGGTGGGGGAGGGGGGTCTAGGTAGGGAGAGGGGAGGGTGGCTGGGTGCGAGCCTAATGGCGAATATATGTACAAAAAATACAATTTAATTATTGCGATCGCTGACTTGTCAAGTTTTTGGTCAACGCTACTCCACCTACACGACATCATCCACCCAACCATCCACCCCCCCCCCCTAACGTCCCATGAAACAGGTCTACCCCCCCCCCCAACGTCCCATGAAACAGGCCTACCCCCCCCCCCCCCCCAACGACAGAAAGAGCGACCTTGTTCCTACATGTTTTCCCCAGAAACAGCAGCGCGCATGAAGCTTACACTGGCTGCTTACATTCGCTGCTTACACTCGCTGCTTACACTCGCTGCTTACATTTTCCCCGGCCCAAATAGACCAAGTGTCACCAAGGACAGTTCCACCGACAGCAGACGACGGGACCGTGTCAATAGACCCACAAGCCCCCGGCGACTGCAAATGTTTTTTTCATCACGATCTTTTTATTTCCGGCCCGCAAGCCAATGCCAACCCCGGTCATGTACACTACGGTACAGTACGGTACACTACGGTACAGTGCCGGTACTCTACGGTACCGGGCCGGCCGGCAGCTTATGTCACTAATCAACGGAGCCTAAACCGGAAACGGGCGCGAAATTGGGCAATGTGTTGTTTTATTGGACGGCTGGCACCAGATCTCTGTCCCACCCAATGGACGGCCATGTGTCCCACCCAATGGACGGCCATGTGTCCCACCAATAGACGGCCATGTGTCCCACCAACCAAATGGACGGCCCAGTGTCCCACCAATGGACGGCCATGTGCGACTGTACGCCGATGACCCCCACACCTCACACCACCACAACAACAGCATCAGTATATGACCAACAAGGACATCCGCGCCATTGTTTGGTGACCCGCGGTCTGACTACAGCTACAGGAAGACTTTGTTGCAGACTAGAGACAGAACTAATGGTGGCATCGTTTCTTTCATACCACGTGACGGGTAGATTCCATGGAGCTAAATTTGAACGATAAAGGTTAAAACAGTTTCAACGAACGCATGAGGGGGAGGGGGGGTTACTGAGGTAAGGACCTTTCTATTGCCCGTGCGTTATGTCGCAATCTGCAAAGTTTAGTTTTTCAAAAGTCCTGTCCGTGTTAGCGAAATATTTCGTTTCCGGAACTTGGGGTCAACCAGTTGGAGTTTTTCAAGTCTCGCATTGTCACGTGACCTGTCAGCTACCAATAAAAAAATCCAAAAGTTTGTTTTGTTTTTTCTTGTGTAAAATTCCGAATCCGGCTCAAATGATTTCAATATCGATCACGGAACAAAAGACTTCCAGAGTTTTAGAACGGCCGTCCGCGGCGTGGCGTTGGCTTGAGCTAGATGGATCACGACCACAGCCACATGCTGGCCAAAAATGACCAACCCATTTAACATATTCCAGGACATACAAACATCAGCGACAACAAACATCAACAAGTTATAACATAAGACGAAGCCAACACTTATAAACAGCAGCAACGGCAAATAAACAAAAATTGAGTTTCC